TGTCCTTCTGCCTCTGAATTTTGTAATAAAACATTTTATTAGCTGCTATGACGTCCTAAATAGCCCACCCAAGGAAATGCGAGAGGGACGGCACCACCACCAGGTGGGCGAGTCCGCCGCATATAACCAGACGCAGAAAATGATGATTTACAAGGAACAGAACTGTATTGCATACATAAGTGATATTTTAAAACTGAAACTAAATCAGGTAGGTGTATTCCGTACTTTCTCCAAAATGCTGCAAAATGTGGTACATCCTTAACATTTGCCATGTAAAAGGAAATTTGCTGTTTTATGGAAATATCATCTTTAATTGTGGCTGCTGCTGTTGATGCCATCGGTTTTTCTACACGACATGTTTTTAAAAACCTATTTAATGATGATAACGGCATCTGTTCTTGGTAATGTTGCTCTTGTTTTCTAGAGAATGCTGCATTCGATGGTGATTTCGGTGTGACTTGTGTAGTATACAAATGAGATTGCCGTAAATTTCGATGAAACTCGGCACATTGTAAAACTAATTTTTCGGCTTTTTCGAATTCAGCTTGATCGGCTGACAAATATTTATGTAACATTGGATCCAGAAAAGCGCAAATCTAAAAAGGAGAGGAAAGAAAATACGAATAAGATCAAGCACATTATAGAATATATAGAAGAGAAGCAATCTTTTTTCTTTATTTATTTAGATAGTAAATGTATCTATTGTCGGATTTTTTAAAAAATGCCAGCCACCATTTTTTGAATAACTCTTCACCGCTGATAGCTATCGAGTTCAGTTTTTAGCTATTCGATAGAGCGGCGTGGGGGGGGGGGAATCTATCTATATGAGACTGATTATGACCAAAGAAGGTTTTTATGGTACATGTTTAATTGATAAGAGTTTTCGGTACCAGTTTTCATTAGTTTTCATAGAGACCTAGGCTTGAATTACACCAAAATGTTGCTCTGAGTGTACTGTATCTGTGATAAAATTTTCAGCTCTTTCTGTCATTGTCTCGAATATGAAAGTTCGCTAAAATCCTGAGATTTTAACGCAAGTTCAGGACCTTTCAAGCTGCAT